ACCGCTGGACCGATCGTCCACACACGGCACAACAGACCCGCCCAAACTACTTTTGATATTAATTTCACTAATAAACACATACATGCACATACATACATATCAAATGTACATATGTGCATTCGTTATAAACTAAATATGTACTTTTATAGTTATGATGTCTGTCCGCACGAAAGCTTACTCCTTTAAAAGCCTATAAACGGTGAAAACGCTGTTTTCGAAAAAAAGGCAGCAGCCACACCGTCGTGAGCTTTATACATATGTATGTATGTAATATGTAGGGGCATATGTAAAAGTAAATAATAAAAAAAAAAAAAAATGGCTTGCAACTAGACTACTACCATCCGCTCGAATATTGCTTAATTATTCGTCGTTGCAAAATTTGTTTGTATGCGGCGTGCGGGGGTTGGAAGGTGTGCTGCACGAGGCTAAATCAAATAAATTAAATATTTACTCATAGCGCGTGCTTCGTAATTTAACTATCCATTTACTGTCGGCTTATGGCTTGCTACTGTCGACTAAACGAATTTTGAAAAAGGAAATATAAGTATAAAAGAGTAATGAAGAAAGGAAAAAAAAACTGTGAATATATGTATGTGTGTACATTAGAGTGGTCCAAAATAAGTAAAGTCGGAATTTTAACGCTCTCACCCCCTAGGATTGTTCTACATATATCGAAAAAAAGTATACCCCTATTTTTTTATTTGTAATTAAAAAAATATATAGAGATCGCTCAAAGCGCTCAAAGTTTTCCATGTGTGTGTGTGTAGGAAAAACAACTTTTCGTGGAAATGGTGTAGAATTCTTGAAGGTCAATATGCTTCGATCGGAAAACTCTGGTTCTCTTCAAAAGACTTCCAATAACAATATCCAATTATTTATTTTTTAACCATTTTTTAATAATGAAAATTTTTTATATATCCCCCCATGGCATTTTCTGGCATTTTCAAGGGGTTTTGGAGGACCTATAAAATATGGTTACTTAGAAAAAATTTTTAAAAAATAATTGAGTATTACTATTGGGAATCTGTTGAAGAGGAACAGAGTCTTCCGATCGTAAAATATTGAATTTCAAGAATTACATACCATTTCCACGAAAAGTTCTTTCTTCCCCATAGAAAATACATGAAAAACTTTGAGCACTTTGAGCGACCTCTAAATATTTTTTGATTTCAAAATAAAAAAAATAGGGCTATACTTTTTTCGATATAGAACAATCCGAGAGGGTGAGAGCATAAAAATTCCGACCTTACTTTTTTCTACATGCATTTTTGGACCACCCTAGAGTACATACTAACTACATATACATATGTGCGAAAAAAAATAATAACATTTTTTTAGAAAAACATTAAGTATGTAATAAATAAATAAAATTATAAAATGTTTCAATGTAAAAAACAAAAATAAAGAAATTATAAATAATTAAAATAATAACGAAATAAAAATAATGAATTAAAAAAAAAATAAATAAATTTTTCTTAAATAATCGATTACAAAATTTTTAAATGATAAAATAAAAAATACAAAAGATTAAATATAAATAAAAAAGGGTATAAAATGAAAATAACTGGAAAAAGAAAAAATTTAAAAATATGAAAAAATATACGTAAAAAAAAAATTAAAAGAAGATACAAAGTAGATTTACAGATCGTTACCTTAATTCAAGAATGCACTAACCAACAATTTTTTCGAAACTGCTCTTTTCACAGATTTTGGTAGGATGTATCAAAGTACACCTTCAATAAGAATTTTAAAGTTCTCTTACCAAAAACAACGGAGTTACATGCCACTTTTTAAAAGGCCCTACCTGTTTTTGTTTCTCTTTTTATAACTATAATTTTTTTGTCTCAGATTTTGATCCAGAGAGATCCAGAGTTGTTTTTGAGCCACAAACTTTTTATGAAATATTTTGAAACATATTTCATTTGAAATATTTGAAACGAAAGTAAGCTGAATTTTGTCGCTTACGCTAAAGAATGCATGTTATCAAGACACTAAAGTATTGAGAGCTGGCTGAAGAATGGGCAACTGCAAATCTGCGTGTGATCCAATGGGACGAGAGCCAAGTATAGGCACACGGAACTGTGGTAAAGTGCCTCCTGAAAAATCTATGCAAGGCGATTACAACGTTTCGTCATCAAATTTAAAAGGAAGCAACTGCGACAAAAACAATTTAAAGTATTTACTCTATGCTTATCTGGTTGAAGTGTAGGTGGAATTGAAAGAGCTTCCATTTTCATTAATATTTTTTGTTTTTAATTTCCTTGTGATATTTTTTGTTAATTTTCTCTTCATCAATATTGGTTTTCAGCACATTGGCGTCATCAAGCAAACGCTCTTATGGCAAATAAATTGCAGACGCAGACGCAGACACTGAGACATATTGCACTACACCAACACCAAGCCATAATAGTAGGATATTATATAGTACATGCACATCTTCCATATTATACTTCCAGCTTTTTAAGAGCTTTTGGTAGTTTTTTGTTTGGATTCTTTTATATACTACTGCATTTCTACAAACCAACATATTTATGCATGTACATACGTGTGTGTTCATGCCTTGACTTGCCTGTGGCATTGATGCTGATTGCTGACACTGTCTGGCATTTCCTTCCCACATACACATACACACACACACAGCAATGCTCACTAGACTTACCTACACTTTTGGCTAGAACTAACTTTAATCAAAACTTTTCACAAATCCAAAATGTACACAGAACGATTTAAATATGTTTCTATGCAAATTTGTTGAAAGTATGTATGTATGTACATATCTATGCGTTTTTGTTTGCGACTTCCACTCTATTACGCTTCACTTGGCACTGTGCATCAAAATGCCGAACAAATGCAAAAAAAAAAACGAGAGAAAAAGTTGATAAAATATGGTGCTTTATTGACTAGGCCAATGGGAAATAGTTCGGCAACAGCTGGCAGTTTAGCAAATAAAATATCTGCAAAACTTTTTACACACATTTTTGAGCATTGGAATTTGGTGAGGTATTTGGGTTTAAATTAATTTGAATGTATTATTTTATGCCGAAAAAAAATTTTGTTTCAAACAATTCTTTGCTTCTTTTTTGCAGCAAAGTCAAATATGTTTTCGTATGATTTATTACAGTTCGCGTCTGGTTAGTTTTAATACATCCCCGAAACTTTTAACAAAAAAAAAAAAAAAAAAAATATTGACAAACACTTTCTGTCGTATTATTAATTTTTACTTTAATTGCATATGTTCATACGTATTTTGCCTCGAAACACATTTTAATAAAAGCAGATAAAATTATCGGCATATGCGTCATTTATGAGTCAACAATAATTGTTTTCTGTCATATTTACAGCCGCCCACACTTTTATCTGCATTGAACATTTAATTTCCGACGCAAGTTTTTGTAGTCGCGGCACTTTTTTTTATAAATTCAGTGTTAATAAACGTACTTATATATATAAAAAAAGCTATAAATCTACAGAAGCTAAGTACGAAAATAATGTGCTTACAAGCGCTAGATGAGTAAAATGGCGTAGGTGCAAATTCTACACCAGAATATCAAAGAAAATAAACGTAAGTTTAATTTGAATTGTCAGATGAGAAAGCATTAATTTTTGGACAATTCACTTATCCACTGCAGGTTCCTTGGTTTATGCATTGCGGTTTTTCTCCAATATTCTCTGTATAAGTATCACATTTGAGAAGTCGTCGCTCTGGAGTCATCAATGACAAGTCACAGACATAAAATGAGTAAACGTATATAATGATCTCGAAATTTATTTTCGCTCTTTGAATTGCAGTCAGTCAGTGCTGGCAACATTTATTTCGGAAACTGATTTTCGAAATGTCTTTCCGGATGTTCACACGGTGGAATAAAATGTCTCTTGCTCAATTTGACAGCGCATTGCACTGGTACAAATGGTTGTGCGAAGTTTGCACTTTGTTGTCTTCGACGTCGAGTTGCCTTAACCAAACATTGTTTACTTGCTCAACTATGCTTCCGTGGAAGGAAAACTGCACGCTTTAAATCTGCTCGACCCATTTCCCCGAATCGATTGCTTGTAGTCGCATGTATAGTGCGCGCAAAAGCAATCGATTAACCACCACCGATCACCTATAATTAAATCAGCGTTCGCAAAGCTACCAAATAACTTGCTATCTCGCCACATTTCCCCATAAAATAATTTCGCTAAACTTGAAGTGACTGCATTGTTTCGATGACACCATTACGATGCGAATTTTTCGCGCATCGAAAATGATCGACAATTCATTCGCTCTACACTCGCAACAGGTTGCACAAAGTCGAAACTGAGTCAAAGATAAGTGAAAAAAAAAAAGTAGCAAACAGAAAATTCGAGCGATAAAAAAGCGACAATGCTCACTTGCAAGTTGGTGAACAACGCATTTGCTACTAGTTAATCGGAATGCCACAATACATCTGTCTGTCAAGCTTGTTACTCATCAACATCTGAAATGTATTGGAGCATAGTCTGCGGCGCTTGCACTTGTATACTATGTACTGCGCGCTTATCTCTTGCGTCTTAGTTCGTTAATAATGATGACTCGTACGACCGACACGACGACGGCATCCCGCCTCACATATTCGAAGGCGCACCCCTGAACGCTGTACCTACCTGGCTCTGGCTGGGTGTAGCTGAGAATAAACGCCATTGATGGCAAAATTGAAGCGAGCAGCAGTACTCACTACTCATCGCGCTATATAGAGGAGAGCAAAAGAGCTCGTATGAAACGTGACGACTGCACTCGTTCGTTTTCTGGAAAAGTTGAAATTTTACTAGTACTCTACTCTACTTCCACTTCCATTTAAAGTTTTCTCAAGCCGCCAGCAACTTGCGCCTGCCGCAACGCCGCCGCTTACTTGACTGGCGTTGGTGGTGTTGAGCTCGAGTTCCGAGATAGCAGCCCAATAAAAAGGTAAGATTTGAGTCATTCGCCGCAAGCTGGCCGGCCAAATGCTCCGCCGGTCGTTTGATCGACCGCTTGCTTGCTCAACTTATGTATGTAGCTGGTTGGTTGGTTGGTCGGTCATTTTGCGGCATTCGAGTGCGACCCGACCGGTTGTAATGCAAGCGGCGGCTTTACTTACTTACTTGCCTCTGTACTCGCTAACTCAAAAGTGCCTTTTGCTTGATTTAAGCCGGACTGGTTGGCTGGTTGTTTACTGGCTTTGTTATTGAAGTCAGTCTCAGTCGATTTTGAAACTCGTGCGCGTCGCGATAGTGTTGTATGCGCAAACGGAACGAAATGTCTATCAACAACGCAAAAAATATACGCCTATGCTTACTACTTGATTGAATGACTTCTTCAATTGCAATTTTCTTAAGTGTTAAGTTGAGTGTTCTAAAAGTTTGCCAAAATGTGAGAACGTTAAATAACTGTTTAAATATTCTTATGTACTTACATTGAAATCTGCAGTTTGGTTTCCATAAATGGTGTGTAAAATAAACAACTTAAACTGTGCAACAGTGCATCAGAAATTTAAGGCGCAAATTTTTGCTATCTTCGTACGAATTGTGCCAAGAAATATGAAAAAAGCGAGTTCAGCAATTGCGATGGATGCGATTTATTGAGTGAAAAAAATTTATCTAAAATTATAAATTTTTGTTTTCATATTTTTGTTTATAAAACTGGCATTACTCAGAGCACTGGATCAGGTTGACCAACGAAGATGTATGTTTTGGAGAGTGTTCACAATGAACACGAGTTTTAGCTTTCGGCATTGCTCGACCTGGTCACTATCTATAGTCGTCTTGGGAGGCATTTGTTGTCGTAGCACTACGCTGCCTACTAACTGTTTGGTGACTGAAGGACCATCAGTCCTTTGTTGGATTTGCCTGGCCGGCTTGACATTACGTTCGGCTAGGTTAGCGGGGTGTGTATAGAAAGTTCCGTACAAATAGAAGGAAAGAGAACTCAAGGCATTAGTAGCAGGCTAAATTAAGAAGGTCCAAAAGCGTTACGAGTACCTTCAAAAACTGGCCCGGACCTCGACGCAGAAATTGTCATAGATACTGATTCCTCATATCATTTTCACTAGCTTCTACAGAGAGACTTCGTTGACATTCGCCACTCCAACTCGTTGGGATCCCTAAGCCTGGGGGCGCCCTTTGCAGCCTTACTCTGAACAATTGAGATTGTCTTGTCTTTGGAAGATCGATTTCAAACTTTTTTACGTAATTTAGATTTGCAGTTTTAAAACCACAGGCGACTGTAGCCACGACACGATCGACCGACGAGAATTTTCATATATCAAATGGTATTTTTTTTTGGATTTTTGTAAAACCCATCAGTAAACTCGTCCCAAGAATACTAAAAATTCATTAGCATCGAACCCTTTCACCGCTCTCAAAAGCTCTCCGTACATACATACATATGTATTTGCTTCATTTATTATTTTACATAACTTGGAGCTTCCCGTTGCTCGTTGGCATTAGTCATACTTGTGGCGTGTTCTGGATTTTTTTCGCTTCATTTTTTTTCCTGCAAGTCAACTTCGATTGGCAAACGAGTTTTTCGCCAGCTGTCTGTTTGGTTGGTTAAACATTTTCCAACTGCACACCGCTCCCTACAGCCCGCGTACATTCACCATTTGCCCGCAGCCTTTGGTGTACATAATTGTTTTTCCCAACTCAACTCCAAACTTTGCTGCCCTCCCCCCCCTCTCGCCAAATACAACTGTTGCACGTCACGTTTTATTGGCAATTACAGCTAACTCCTGACAAAAATGTGTTGCATTCCTCTGCCAGCAAAAAGAAAACAAATACAAATATTGTGAAAAGCAAATCTTCACCAGCTAGACTTCTGCATACATACAGTACGCTTTGAACGCATCACTGTATGCGCTGCTGCTTCCCCCTGGTTTGCAACCGCAAGTGAAAGTCTTGCCGCTGCTATGGACTTTGGCATGCCATTAATGTCCGTCCATATTGCGTTTTCTAGCATTCAATGAGCGATTTTTTTTTTTTTTTCAATTATCCATTGAAAAAACCGCCGCCGAGGGGAAATAAACAAATTTTGCGTTGTGCCTCAGCGGTCAGCGGCTTCAAGCTACTTACTATAGGATTCTGCTTTTCTATATTTTATTTCTTTTTTAATATGTACATATGTACGTACATGTGTATACGTATATGATTTGATATGTTGACTTTCGCGGCGCCACCGTCAAAAGTTTAATAAACAATTTGCTGCGGCTGCAATACGCCAAGCATTTTAATTATTTTTTCTTATTTACTTTTACCTTTTTTGCCTCGTTCAAATGCTTGTTGTTTGCAATTGCCATCTGTGCTGTGCGTTGCGCTACGCTACGCCGCTTTGACTGTCAATTGTCGATTGCCGCAATTGTCGTATATGTTGTTGGCTTGGCAATTTTTTCGATGTGCGTGCCATCTTTAATACGCGCCATTGCTTTCGGAAATTGTTGCTATACACACACATATAAAAAACCACTAAATGTCAAATTTGAAATTTCGCGGGGAGAAGCAAAAAGCCTTTAAAATTTACATAGAAAATGTAGTAAAAAATAAAGCCATATTTTTGCAAGATATCATCGCTATGAATTGTGAAATGCAGGTGTGTCTGCATTAGAGATGGTCGCGCGACTAAGTATTCAATCCTGATCCCGATCATTTCGATATTAAATCTTTAAGTCTCGAACGCGCCCATCCCGATGTTTTTCAGATTTGCACCGCGGACCCGCCATGGTTTCCGATATCTATCACTGAGTTAAATTTACATGGTTTCCAATTGAATTTTAAATGTATCTTCAAAACAGGCGTATTCAAAAATATACCTCCACGCCTTATATTGTGTAAGGTTTTCAATGAGGTTGGGTCGATGTTGAAATGGAATAAAATAAATAGTTAAATAGTTTTTTTTTTAGAAGTCAATGTTTGCCATAAAACGAAACGTGTCTTCCACATGTAAAAAAAGTTGTTGGCATAGACATATGATCAGAAAATGCCATAAGAAAATGTTTAGCGGGGTCGGGCCTCACGATCTGGGTGGCCAATTTACATAACCTATTCTGGATATAACAAAGCCCACAAATTCTTCATGCAGAATATCTATCGGGGCGTCCGTTGTTTGACACCGCCGTAGCGTCGTCCTGCTGGAACCACATATCGTCAACGTTGCTATCATTTGATTGGATAAAAAATCGGCTATAATCGTTTTGGAGCGCTCAGCCATATGCTGAGAAAATTATCCCCGTACCATTTTCTCTTCTTCTGTGCTTGACCATTCCTCTTATGTCGGGATGTCGTTAAAAATTAAAATATATCAGTGCATATGTATTTACTACAATTGCTAAATTACCATTTGGAAGAGCGTCAAGTGTTCTCATGGTTAATTTAATGCCAACGGTTTCTACACATCAGCTCTCTCCCAACAGTTTTTTTTTTTTCTTGTTTAGCGAGAAATTTCATGCGCTTATTTTATTTTTTAACTGAATCTCCTAGCTATGCACAATAAAGGCACGAAAACTCTTACTATTTGCTATAATTAAGTATATCGATAATTGACAACGGTGGCAAAATTGTGAAGAATTGCGACTGTCGTTTTTAAAAAGTTTTTTTTTTTTCAGATATGGCCGTAAAAGACAAAAGAAAGGTAGTGTCTCACAGGTGGTCCATAATACTAATATGGTTTAGATCCGATCATTAGATCATGAATATATATATATATATTTTTTTTTGTATGAGAATTACAGTCGGTTTTGTTTTTTGCTTAAAAATTACTTGTTAACTAAATATATTGATTTTCATGCAAATTGCAAAAAATCCTAAAAGGTACATGGCATCAATAAAAAAATCTCGACGTGCTAGAAAAAAAAACCAAAGATGCATTTTAATTTAAAATACAGTGGTGGAAAATTAAATAGGGACACGACATTTTTTAAAATTTTGCCTATTTTTCTTTCGTTTATTTAAAATTTGTTATTTTTTTATAAAATTGTAGCTATGAATTCATATTTCAAACTTTGTGCTAAAATTATAAAAATTCTGCAAAATTGCATCTAAATTTTCAACTTTTTAATAAGACTTTTTAGAATTTTTTAGAGTATGTAGTTTTATAGCCCATTAAATTTTAGTATAATGAGGTGTAAGTTTTAAGTTACAAAAAAATCCCGTTGATTTTTGGCAATTTTCTTAATGCGTTTTCTTCCATACAAAGTATCATACAAAGTATGTTCGACAATTTTTTGATGGAAAAAGTGCTTAATACATTCAGAATAAAAATGATCAAAAATCATCGCGATTTTTTTGGAACTTCAAACTTGCCTTTATTCTACTAAAATTTAATGGGTTATAAAACTGCGCACTCAAAAAAATTCTAGAACTAAAAAGTTGAAAATTTAATTTACCAAGTTTGAAAAGTGAAGTTATATGGTTTTTGTTAGATAATGAGCTATACTTTTATAAAAAAAAATTATAAATAAAAGAAAAAGTGTAAATTTCGCAGGCCTGTGTTATTGTTGGCGTTCAAAGTTTACAATGTTCTAAGAGGAAATTTTTTCATTCCCTTTTGATATGGTTCTTTTAAGACAAACCGGTTTCGGCGTTGTGCCATCTTTAGTGTCATTTTTTGCTCTCCAACTCGCGGTAAGTGCAGCCGCAATATGGCAACTCTGTTGGCAATATAGCAACATAGCACCCAAGCCAATGCCCACTTAACATCCAAGACATGAATATGAAAATCTCGCAAATGTTTTTAGTTAGCGTGCAAATGCTACATATTTTTGTTTGTAAATTTTTCTTTACGTTTCATTTTCATCATTTTCCTACAAACTTTGTTTTGTTTTTTTTTTTACAATTGTTCCTTGTTTTTGTAAATACAAAATTTTAAATTGTATGCGAAAAAACTTTCACTGCTTCCAGCTGGTTGGTTGTTCGGTTGGCCAGCTAGACGTAGAGTCGTTTGCCTATACATGTAGGCGCATAAATACAAAAGATTGTGTCAGAAAACAAAAAAAAAAAAAAATGGGAAACAAAAAAAAAAAACAATAATTAAAACAAATGGAAAAAATCAAAACAAAATGTTAACGAACGCGCAGGTGTAAACGTCATTCATTCTGTAGAGTTACGTTTTTATTGTAGGTGTGTGAGACTCAGGTGCGGATGTCCTCCAGCAACAACCAACAGCAAATTTTTGTTTTTGGCTACTCTAGCTTGGCGTTGGCGATTTTTTCTGGCTTTTTGCATTTTCACGCCAATTTCGCGTTTTTTTTTTTTTTTTTGTATTAACTCTTCATGCCTGACTATTTCACACTAGCTCGTCTCTCCCTCTCGTCCTCCCCCGCCCCCTCCTTTTGTCTATTTTCCTTTGAATGCTAAATTTATGCAAATTCGTACTAAATACACGCTAATATTTAGTAGTCTCGCAGTTTGGTCACTTTTATGCCTTTCTGGTTATTCACTTTTGATAAATTACTTTC